CGGCTGGTGGGTTTGAACCACCGACCTTTTGGTTAGCAGCCAAGTGCTTTAACCACTACATCACCAGGGCTGCTTTTAGAGACTTAACCAAGAAAACAAAAGTTGCTGTTGAGTCGATTCCAACTCATAGTGACCCTATAGGACAGAGTAGAACTGTCTCATAGGGTTTCCAAGGAGCAACTGGTAGATTCGAACTGCTGACATTTCGGTAGCAGCCAAGCTCTTAACCACTGTGCCACCAGGGCTCCTTAGGGACTTAAGAAGATCCAAATAATTTAAGAAGTGAGCTCCTGGCAGCAGTTGATGGTAGAAAATAGCCATCCTGAGATGCTCATAGGGGAATTTTGCTGATCTGGTCCTTTAATGAGAAAGCAAGTTGGGCATTGCTTCTGTCATCAAAGTAAGGGGTAGCACTGGTGTTTCCATCTCTCATCATGCCTTGCCTGGACCAGGTTATAACCTAAACACAGATTAATTATATCTGTCAAAACATTATTTTACCTAGTGAGCTGACTCTTGAAAATATGTAATATCTAGCATAGCAAATTGGCCTTTAATGAAATATTTGTGGACACATTGGCCCATAAGAAAAACAAGGAAAAAAATAAAAAATAAATCCTACATGATAAATAGCATTATCAGGACTATTGGCCTAAATTACAAAAGGGTAAGTAGTTTATAAATGTCACTTCATAATTGAAGTGGATATTTCTCTTTCGTGATTTGTGATCTTATATATGTGATTATGTGACTGGGATGTGATATACCTTACAGGGTAGTGAGCCCTGTTGTGGATTTCTACTGGGTCTCACTGTCTTTGGTAGAGTGAACATCCTCAGGAGAGAAAAAAAAAATAGCATGATGACGTTTCTCTCCTTTTATGTAAGACTGTCTTATTGCAAACCAATTCCCCAGACCTCTTCTTGTGTGCAAGGAGGCCAGTGGGAGAAATTACAGTTGGGCTCAAGTTACTCTACATCTGGACACTTACTGAAACCTAGGATGACAGGTCTAGGTCTCAGGCCACATCTTTTTATAGACCTGTTGGAGAGGTCACATTGAGACCATGTTCTGTAGCTTTATTTAAGCTATAATATGGTCTGGTGGCTTGCACCCTAAGTGGGGTGAATACAGAGATACTCCATAAATAATTATAAGAACGCTTTTCTCCAGAAAGATTTAGAACTACAAGAACCTAGCTGTCATATGGTTCTGCCTACACTGGAGTTCTGATGCACAGCTTTGAAAGAGGCTTCATTTGAGGTGTTAACCCACGTGTGAGGCTGACTTTACTGAAAATTGCACATGGGTACCATCAGGATAAATAATTGTGGAAGGCTTTTATTCTTGATTTAATAATAGATATAACACCTCCCAGTAATTATTATCATTGCCATTTATTGCTCAATCTTTTTTTTTTTTTTTTGGCATAGCTATCCAGTAATTGAGAAAATGAAAATTTTTTTCCAGGAGAGCAAGTTGATGTTTTATACAATTTTTTACTTATCTGATTAAAATATTCCTCTACATTTATTTTTTGGGTTACTTTTTTTTTTGGTGGGGGGAAGCTGTTAATGTAAAAAATCCTGACAGATCTTAGAACATATTTGACTATAAGAACAGTTGAATGTTAGGCTTTACAGCATATTAAATCAATTCATTGTCTCTGAGTAGAATCTGGTTGATTTCATATTAACTGACTTCCGGCAGAAATTTTATATGCACTTTTGAAGTGGCTTTTGGTGATCATTTTATCCATTTAGGTTTTTATAATAACTTTTTAAAATATAAAATAATACATATTTATTATAGAAAAAATAAAAATATTCCTAAAGAAAGTAAAAATTACACATAATTCCATTACTCAGAGAAACCACTGTTAACACTTTTGGTGTGTATCCTGACAGCCTTCCTTACCTACCCCCTGTACCCACCCCCATTTATACATGGCCATTAAAATTTTTTGTTTTATTTTTTTAAAGGAAAAGTAAATCATTTTATACACATTCCTTTGTAATTTTTCCTACTCGATAAACATATTATGAACATTTTCTCATGTTGGTAGATATTCTAGGACATAATTTTATTGCCTGGAAAATATAATATTATGTTATTTTATAGTATCTTGGCTTCTAGTACTATTTCATTGTATTCCCTTCTATTGCCTTTATAAGAAATAGACCCCCATGCCTTTATACAAGTCAGACTGTTAGAATTTTTATTTTTAACACAAGGCTGTTGAAGATATTGGAACCAACCAACTGGAAGATGTTGGTTCCTTTTCAGGGATGGATCACATCATTGAGTCAAGTAGTTAGCTATTCCAGTTCATCTGAATAACCCTGGATCATCTTATTTTAGAGCTGGAGGGAATGAATGAACATTTGAATAACAATGTTTTCTGAATATCTTGTAAAAGGACATTGATAGGAAGTAACATGGATAATTCTGCCTCCTAGGAATGCATAATATAAAGAGAAGATGGGTTGGAAACAACTAGAATATAAGTTCCTGGATGATAGATCCTCTTTACCTCTATAGCTTGAGTCTTTTTTGAGACTGAGTAGTACCGTAAAGTAGTAGGTACTCACTTTTTTTAATTACACGTCAGCATAAAACACAAAATTCACATGTACCAGAAACATATGAGTAAGTACACAATTGGTGATTATATAGTTCATAGTTTTTACAGTATCATTGGAGTGAGGTAGAATGTACAGTGATTGGAGTGAGGTAGAATGTACGGTGAAGAAAACCTTTAGCAGGAGCCAAGAACAGACTTGTCTTGAGGTAGAGTATTTGAAATGTTTATATCAGAGAATGTTGTCATCACTGAGGAGAACCAAAGGTCTTGTTTAGTGAAGTGATGAGGAGGGCATCCAGCAAGTTCAAGGCACGTTGGGATTGGTTAGCAGGGAAGACAAGTGGCTACACAACCAAGTCCTCAAGAAAACAATGTCTAAAGGGAAAGCAGAGGGAGAGAGGAAAGAATGGGAATAAGGAAAGAAATAAAATAGTGAGTGGGGGGTGGGGAGGGGTGCAGTAAGGAGGGGCTAGAAACAAGCCAGAGCACGCTGAGTCTATCCACAGAGGCAGAAGAGGAAAGTTGCCATAGCATGTTCTCTCCCCATATTTAAGGGAGCGGCAACTCCTGAAACACAAACAGTATTAAAGGATTCTGTTTTCAAGGTACTGATTTACTTCCAAAGTGTTTTTCGGCAAAGGTTAGACGGTAAAGAATCCCAGTGCTTCGCCTTCAGTTTGTTGGAATATTAAGTTTACAAGAGTAGGGTACTCTGAGATTGCTGGGAGTCCTGGTGAGTGTGTCAACACAGATCACAGGCTTCCCAGTGAAGGGTTTTGTAGCCACCTCAAATAAATTCATGTGGGATTAGGAAAATGAAACATACTTGCAAACCCAGAAGTCTAATGGCTGATTGTCTCCTGGGCTTTTTTTCTTGCTGGTGGTGGTTGCTTTCTGTTCTCTTCCAGAGTTCTATTGGAAGGGTGCTGTCTTTTGTTTTTGACAGAATGTTGATCCAGGTGTGCCTGTATTTTTACTGTAAGTTTTTGTGGCGCTGTCTGAAATTTGTAATGAGGAAGCTGACAGGAAAATGTGAGCTGCAACGGATCTGTTACAGTACCAAGCCTGGAGCTTCTAGAACCATGAAAATCGGTAAGCATGAAACAAAGAAGTAAGCCAAATGTAGGGTTGGTTGGATTGAAGATATAGTGTTATATTTCAGTATAATGATTTTAAACCATTTGTAAAGGATCATTTTTGAATGACGTTTTTGTTATCGCTTTAACAGAAACATCACTGAGGGATTCAAAAAGTAAGGTAAGTAAAATGGTTTCTATATTTTCAGCAACTTTTCACTTGGAAGTTTACCTCCATCAAAAAGTTAAAAAGAAATTAAGAAACAAAAATTATCATGACTATGAAAACTAATACAAAGTGAGAAGTAAGAATTGTTTATCACAAATCACTGTTTTTTGATGTGAGAGCAGCTGCTGTATGGGAATTTCTAGGCAGGTTTGTGAAGCACTTATTACTTCATTGTTAGATCAGTCCTTTTTTATACCTCTCTCCAAATCATAAAATAAATATCCCTTGAAAATAGGAAGATTATTAACTTTCTGGTATCTCCTTAATATCCAAATCATTTAACTTTATACCCAAGATTTTCCAGTATAATCAAACAAGCCACTCTGCTAGCTCTTACAGCATATAGTTGAGCATCCACAGATAGAAGTAACGTGGAGTTTTGGGGTTTTTTTTTTCATGATTCCTGATGATTTTGTTTTATTATTTAATTTAGGCATCCTTAAGACTGTTTCCCCCATGTACCTGACCCTTTAATCATACACATAATGCCCCTTAACAATGAAAACCATGTTGGGTGAGGCAAAGACAATATATTTCAATATAAATGACTTACAACAGATGAAAATGGTAAAAACAAACAAAAAACCAAACAGCTGTATGTATTTCTGTTTTATGTTATCTTAATCAGGAAACTTGCATTACCTCTTGTAAAAATGTCGAATTTATTAGAATTCAAGTACACTATATCATTATTTGCTTTTAGTTTTTTATCTTCGTATGGAAGATTAAAGCAAATATTTGAAGCCTCTAGCCAAGCAGAAGGCGCCCTGGTGGCGCAGTGGTTAAGCACTCTGCTGCTAACCAGAAGGTCGGCAATTTGAACCCACCAGCCACTCCTCTGGAGAAAGATGTGGCAGTCTGCTTCTGTAAAGATTTACAGCCTTGGAAACCCTATGGGCAGTTCTACTTTGTCCTATAGGGTCGTTATGAGTCAGAATTGACTTGACGGCAATGGGTTTGTTTTGGTTTGGATCCAAGCAGACCTGATTAAGTCACTGGTGTTCATGACAAGGGAACTGATTGAAACATGTTTTTCAGCTGTTGCAGACTTCAGTAAGTGTTCACCCTGACGTTATTGAAAAAACTATAGAAGACATCATGGAACTGAAAAAAATCAACCCTGACGTAAATCCACAGTAAGAATATGTTATTATGTCAGGAATATAGAACACAAGTCTTATGGCCACATATTTAGTATTTCTACATATCCTTCATGAGCTTGCTTACTTGCTTTCTCTCTCTTTCTATGCCTAGAATAGTCATCTGCAATGTTTTGATTTTCGGATGAAGAATAAAGAAAAATAGGTGGCTTTTTCATGTTCGTAACTGGCAGCAACTTTATACCTCTGTTGTGATTTATGTTTCTGGTTCTGAGATGTAATGAGTGCAAGAAATTTAATGCATACCCAAATATTGAAAGATGTGATAAAAGCAGCCCATTCATCAACAATCGCTCTATGCAATACCTATGTTTTACACTAACAGTAAATGTTCAAATTGTAAATGTGCCTAAGCTGAATCTGCTCCGTCAAGAACATTCCTTCAGCTCATGACAGGCTGGTATTGTTGGAGACAATTCCTACCTGCTTGTCGAGAAGATAAGCATGTGTGGGAGGGAGAGAGATGGTTTTTATATGAAACTTCAGAACTTTATAATTTAGTCATCACATCTTGGAAGTATTAAAATGCATTTGGCAATATGCATGACATTTAAAATTAGCTTTATCTTTTCCCTTGGGTACAGCAATTTTTCAGTAAAATTTTGGGCTAAGAACATTGGGTAGAATGAATTCTGAATGCAGATATATTTAGAGATGATTTAGGTAGGTAACAATCAAACTGTCTTTTAAATGTGCATGCGCTAGAACTTCAGATGCTACTGCTGAGAAAGCCTTTTAATTACCAAAGACAGTTGAAGGGGATTTCAGAGCGCTCCTTGCAGAGGTCTGTCTCTTGGAGGGATTCTAGGTGCTACCAATCCAGGGATCATCACAAAACTCCATTTCTATCTAGTCTCCATAGCATGCTTTTGTAGCTACTTCTACTCCCACTCATTAGTTGCCTTTTCCATATGGAGCCGTTAAAGGTTGACTTAGTTATGTAGATGTCTGTTTGAAACCTTCTAATATATATTTATTCCTCTGGGAAAGTGGTAAGAAGGCAATTCATTTTAAATTAGACTGAACCAAAAATTTACAACTGCAACTGGGCATGAGGGGTGTATTAGTCCTGTAATCATATTTAGAGATTGGATTAGATTTAATAGCAAATCTTTTCTATGACTCTTCTATGAAAGTTATATAGGTCTCATTCAAAGGCACTTCTTTGCCATCTATCCTTTTTATTTCCTTTAGGAAAAAAAAAAAAACACTCTTATAGGTAGTAGATTGTGTTTTTACATCTTAACCTGGATTCTAATGCCTTTTTTCTAGATTGACATTGACAAAATCTGATTTAAAAAATTAAATACTTTTCTGAGAAAACAGATAGGAGGGAGGGATGGGGGAGACATTTGATAATTTAATGAGATATTACTAGTATTAACCTCACTTTGTTTTAAAGTGTTCCTTATCGTGGTAGTAGAAATTAGTAAAATTATTAGCCTTTCTTGTTCCCTCCTCTTTTATTTCTCCCACTCTCTTCTTTTCCTCAAAATTAGTTCTCTTCTCAGTCCTGCATCGATCTTCTGGATGACCACTGTCACTTTGCTCTTTTCTTAAACTTTAAATCTCTGATTTCATTTTTCAGTGCTATGGTAACAAGTAATTAAAAGTTCCATTTAATTGAATGCTCAATTTTATTTGACTTTAGTATCTCTGGGTTATCTGATACTGTCCTCTATGTTTGGGGTAGGTAATATAATTTTAACTACCTGTGAGCCCTGGTCATGCAGTAGTTAAGAGCTCGGCTGCTAACCAAAACGTCAGCAGTTTGAATCCACCAACTGCTCCTTGGAAACCCTATGGGGCAGTTTTAGCGTGTCCTGTGGGTCAGTATGAGTTGGAATCGACTTGATAGTGGGTTTTTTGTGTGCCCCTAACTGTAGACTTAACCTTTATGTATCTCATGTACCTCAACAAAAAGATGATAACACTGCCATTGTGGTTATAATGACCACCACCTCCACTACAACAAAAATGTTCAAAAGTAGTAAGTGAACTACGATCAGGAATACATTTGACAGGAACTGTTGAGTTGGATCATATGAAATTACCCATTTTTTAACCATTTTGCAGTCAGCGTGGAATAGGAAATTTTGTAAAGTGCTTAGCAGGAATAAATAAACATGAAGTACTTACTTTTAGATTTTAAAATACCATCAAACAAGAACAGAATAAGATAATAACTTATGTGTCACTGGTTTATATGGAAAAAAAAAAAGGATCTTAAAAGCTTACAAGCAGTGATCCAAGGTACAATAATTGGTCTCTGTTGGCCTGGAACTAGAGGAAGAAGAAGTATCGGGAATAGGAGGAGGAAATGAAATGTGTGGCTGATTGCCTCCATGAACAACTGTCTCCTTTGCCATGAGACCAGAATAACTGGATGGTGCCCAGCTACCATTACTGAACATTTTGATCGAAGATTCTAAAGAATCCTGATCAAAATGGGAAAAATGCAGTATAGAATTTCAAATTCTCATGGAATCCAGATTTTCCGGAGCCATGGAGGCAGAGTAGACCCCTGAAACTATTGCCCTGAGATAATCAGTAAGCCTTAAGCCAAAAAATATCCTCTGAAGTCTTCTTTAAACCAAATATAGTTTAGCTTAATTAATAAAGACTGCCTGCCTTGAGCATTGTGCTCTTTCAAGAACTGTCTATATGGGATCAAAATGACAAAAGCAACTGGAAAGAATAAATAGGAAACTCAGGGGGCAGTGAGTTTATGTTAATGGAGGAGGAACAAGTCACAAAAGGAGGGTGAGAATGGTTGCACAAATTGAAGAATTAATCAATTTCACTGAATTGTACGTGTAGAAATTGTTGAATTGGTGTATGTTCTGCTGTGTATATTCTCAACAACAAAAACAAAAATAAAATAAATTTTAAAAAAAAGAACAGGAATAAAAGCATCTTGGTGATTAGTTAGCCACCTGTTTAATAAACTTGTTATGTGACAGCCTTTTATATTATAGGTTGTAGGAGAGGAAGACAGTGGTCAGATCACAGAAAGTAATGATCTTCTGTGTGATATGCTTGCCAGATTGTTTTCTGTCCTGGTGATATGTTCTAAGGGAGCCGTTAATCATATAGTACACATCCAGAGCAGACTAAGCAAGATAGCGAAGCATCTGAAAACCATGTCCCGTGAGGGACTTGGAGGAATAGGGGATTTTTTTTCTATCCTGGAAAAGATGAGACAGGAAGAAAGAATCACTATCTTAAAATAGGTAAGCATGGTAGGGGAAAGGTAGAAATAAATTTGCTCAGTATAGTTCAGAGGAGAGAATTTAAACCATAAGTTTTCAAACAACCAAAGCAGTCAGAGTGTAATGGGAAATTTTGCAAAGTAGTGAGTTCTCTCCCTGGCAAGCCTCATCTGTTAGGGACGCTCCTAAGCAGAGGTTTCTTTCTAAAAATCTTCTTGCCCCTAAGCACCAGAGGGTTATTTCTCTTTCTGTTTCACACACACACCCTTCTGAGATGATTCTGATATAATACCTGATGATAGTTACAGCTGCCATCGAGACAATTCTGACTCATGGCAACCTCACGTATGACAGAACAAAATGTTGCCCAGTCCTGCATAATCCTTATGAGCTCCGGCATGTTCGAGTCCATCGTTGCAGCTGTTGTGCCAGTGCATGTCACCAGGGGTCTCCTTTGCCCTTGTTGGCCTACTGCTTCACCAAACACTGTGTCCTTCTCCAGTGATTGATCCCTCCTGATGATGTGCCCAAAGTAAGCGAGTCAGACAATGTTCTGTTGTGATCCCGTAGGTTTTCACTGGCTAATTTTCCGAAGTAGATCACCAGGCCTTTCTATCTAGTCTGTCTTAGTCTGGAAGCTCCACTGAATCCTGTCCATCATGGATGACCCTGCTGGTATTTGAAATACCCATGGCCATAGCAACACACAAGCCACCACAGTACAAAAAGCTGACAGACGGGCAGTAGGGGATATAAATGAGCTCTAAGAACCCATTGTTTCCTATATTTTCTACGTATTACTGTCAATCACCTGCAAAATGAGCTTCTTTGTTTTTAAGTCACACTATAGCAGCTTGGCTTAAGAAAAGGCCTAGAGGTAAATTTTAGCTAGTTTCTATAGCTATCCAGGTAGAGATTCAGTAAGAATTGTGTTTCTCTTAAATATATCCTGTTTGAGCAAATTACTGGTATCATATAAATATGCAGAGTTCTATTAAGCATACATCAAGTGAACAAATGCCAGAGAATTTTTTTTTTCCTTCATGTGTATTTCTTCTATTTTTGAATATCTCAGGTTGGGAATCTCTCTTCAGGCTTGCCTTCTGCAAATTGTTGGATACAGAAACCTTATTGCCGATGTTGAAAAACTGCGCAGAGAACCCTATGATTCTGAGAATCCCCAACATGAAGAAATGCTTTTGAAGGTTAGTCCTTGAACACACGTTAGTCATTGGGTTAGGTCAGCTAACGTTTGCCGAGCACTTCCTCTGTGCTGAGCACTGTGCTGGACATTGGAGTACAAAGAAGACTAAGACATGGCCACAGGGAGGAGTTGAGAAGGCCTGGTTTTCTTGCTGGTTCAGATGTTGGAGATAAATTTTTCACGCTAAAATTCATGTGAAAAGTTAAGTTTAAAGCCAGTTTTCTTTTGTAATCGGAGAAAACATCAGAGGTGATTTCTGTGGGCTGTCACATTTGGCTTGAGTTTAGATTGTTTACTATGTGTTAAAAGCCAGTTAGGAGACATAGCATTTGTCAGAGTGACCTGGGATTTTCATTTATGACTTTTAATACACATCAAAGAAGATGTAGTTGGTTTCTGTTTCAGCAATAGCCCTCTTGGGAAGTTACTCAAGATCTTAAGGATGATTATTTATTCATGTAACTTGGAGAGCAGGTGAACGTTTATACCTGGCATATTTGAACTGTTGAAAGAATAATACAGAGTTACGAGTACTTCTGACTGTCAAAGCGAAAACTTAAGAATCTTACGTGATGTTATTTTTATATATGAAGCAGTGTTAAATTTTTACCTCAAAACATCGAATTATGAGAAAAAAAAATTAAGAACAACCTTCAGAACTACTCATCTGAAATGTTTTATAGCTTCAGTTATGAAAATAGATGCTTTTTAGGATGGAATGCTTCCTTGTCCTTCCCTAGAGTTCAAAATGGGAGTAACAAAATATGAAGAAAACATTTGTTTAGCTGCCTTAAATTTATTCTATTGGAAAATGTAAATAGAAGTTGTAGTTTTAAAAAAAGATCCTGTTGTGTTTTTGTGTGAAGGAGCATGTGTTTTTGTATATGTAAGTACTTAAGCAGATGACTCATTTTGTCTCTGCTAATTAGAACTGGATCTGATGTGAATCATTAATAATTAAAGAAGCCTCATTCTTGGCAATAGTTTTTCTTCCTCCCTTTCTCTCTGCTTAATTTTAGCTAACCTACTGGTTGAGTTTCATCTCCTTCTATTGCCTTTTTTTTCTTTCTGATCATTTTCTGATAGAGGTAGTTGAGTTCAACAATATGACCTAGAGATGAGAAATAAGAGATGAATTAAAGAGAAAAGAGGTGGTAAAATTAACAGATTGGCTAGAAGCACCTGGACAATTCAGTACCATGGCTGAGATACCTCAGAATCAATTAATGACCTTTGGGCACCTACTATGCGCCATCCTTAGCGGATCTCTTGAATGTGTGCTAGCACATAGTAGGTTTCAACAAATATGAGTGAATGCATACCTTCATGAGGTTAATTAGATACATGTTGGAAGCTGTTATCATATGACTTTTATCTATAGTCATGATTTCAGTATGTACGTGTTATCATTTTTTATTGTCACAACCATACGAGGTGATGGTTATTATCTGCATTTTAGAGGTGAGCAAACTATAAGCATTTTAGTCCAGGCTGTGATTCACACAACTAGTAAGTTGTGAAGTCAGGACTGTCCACTACTGCATTAGGTGCTTTGAGGAAAGACATGGTTTCTGCTCTCCAGGGGTTTATAATCTAATTGGGGAGATCCTCTGCCCTGGTGGCGCAGTGGTTAAGAGATCAGCTGTTAACCAAAAAGTCAGTAGTTTGAATCTACCAGCCACTCCTTGGAAACCCAATGGGGCAGTTCTACTCTGTCCTGTAGGGTTGCTGTAAGTTGGAATCAACTCAGTGGCAACAGATTTTTTTTTTCTTGCTTCTACAAAAATCACTAAATCTTACCCATCAAGCCCCCTCCCCCAATATCTCTCAAATGCTTGCCATGCCCATTGCCCTATTCCAGCCATCATTTCTAACCTGGGCTGTTGTGATAGCCTTTCAATTCTGCCACTAGCCATTCCCTTCCTCCATTATAGCTTCTAAAATACTGCTGGGAGGATATTTCTAAAACACAAATCTAGTCATGTTATTCCCTGAGTTAAAAACTTCAGGCTCCCTGTGTCCTATAGTAGAAAGCCCATGCATCTTGGCATGGCATTTTGGACACTTTCCTATTTATTTCTCTAAGCTACCTCTCTTGCCTCCCCATGTGTACAGTACATTTCCACCAGGTTCCCATTATTCACATGACCCATGGCCGTGCCATTCTATACGTCGAGATACTTGCTTGTGCTGTTCTCTCTGTTACCTGTTATTCACACAGCACAAGTCTGCTCATGGTTTAAGTCCTTACTCAGTGAATTTTCAAATCTTCTCTAGCCTTCCTAAGCAAACTCACAAGTGGGACCTTTATTCTCTTAGTTACTTAGTGCTGCTACAACAGAAATGCCACAAGTGGATAGCTTTAACAAAGAGAAATTTATTCTCTCACATTCTAGGAGGCTAGAAGTCCAAACTCAGGGGGAAGGCTTTCTCTCTCTCTGTCGGCTCTCGGGGAAGATCCTTGTCTTCCATCTTCCCTGGTCGAGGAGCTTCTCAGCGCAGGGACACTGGGTCCAAGGATGCAGTATTCTCCTGGCTTTTGTTTCTTGGTGATATGAGGTCCCCCTGTCTCTCTGCTGGCCTCTTTTATATCTCGAAAGAGGTTGGCTTAAGACACCATCTAATCTTGTTGATTGAGTCCTTCCTCATTAACATAACTGCCTCTAATCCCCTTTCATTAACATCATCGAGATAGGACTTACAACACATAGGATTTACAACACATATCAGATGACTAAATGGTGGGCAGTCACACAATACTGGGAATCATGGCCTAGCCAAGTGGACAGACATTTTTGGAGGACACAATTCAATCCATGACGTTCTCCTTTTCAGTTTATTCAAATTCCAGGTATGATAGTAGTAAAATAGAAATAATAAAAACATTTATTGCATATTTAGTATGTGCCAGTCATTACAGTAAGTGTTTTACAGCATTATCTCATTTAATCGTCACAGTAACCTTGAAGGTGAGGTACTGGCATTCTCATTTTTCAGTTGAGGAAACAGGCAGAGCAGGTAAGTGACTGCACAAGTTCACAAAGCTAGAAAGGACTCTTAACTGCTGCACTACACTACCCCTTAAGGGAGAAACCACTTCTTGTTCTCATTTGTATTTTCAGAGCCTGCTCCATGGTTTTTGTTTAACTGTCTGAGCTTAGGCTTACTTATCTTTCACATGGATAATAATACCCTGGCTATCTGCTTCACAAAATTTTTCAGAGCAAACTAAGACCTACAGGCCAGTTCTGGGCTGCCACTTGTTTTTGTAATAAAGTTTTATTGAAACACAAGCCCTGCTAATTCATTTATATATTATCTATAGGTGCTTTCCTACAATGGCAGACTTAAGTAGTTGCAGCAGAGACCATATAGCCCTCAAAGCCTAAAATATTTACCACCTGGCCCTTTATAGACAAAGTTTGCAACCCCTAGTTTAGAGGCCCAGATAATATATTGCCATATTGTATAAGTGCTTTGCTTTATAAGCACAGGAGGGCATTGTCAGTGTTTCTACTTAGATTCCTATAGTGTAAAAAAAAAAAAAAATCTGCATTTTATGATCATTTGACATGGACTGGGATGAAATTTAATATCACTGTGTATTCTTGTAGCACTGTATATATGAGTTATTGAAACTAACATATTAAAAAATTTCTAACTGAGTGCTTAACCATTGCACAACCCAGGCTCCTTAATCACTCACTATAAACCTACTAAAATAGGTAGGGTCTATTTTAAAAATAATTTGAGATTACATCAAGTCATTGTTCAAATGAATATGATATCTGTTATATTTTATTTCCACTTTCTTCCCCAGTGTGGTAGTAATCAAATCCATTCCTAAAGGGTTTTTAAAAAGAGGCCTTTCCCTGATGATGATGACTGCTCTCTTATTATTGAGTATTCTTCTTCTGATGGTCTCAGAAGGATTTTCTGTTCTGATGAATGCACAGCACTAACAATACAATATAAAGAGATTGCTGATTTCCACGTTTGATATTTTGCTTCAAGCATGATGGATTTCCTTTCTTTCCTCTGAAGTTTTTCTCTCAACCCTTTAGATAAATTGAATTTACCATTCGTGCCACTGAGATAAAATATACCATCTGAATAATAAGTAATTTTGGATTAGTGCCTAGAATAACTGAGATGAATCATCACTTTTTTTTAAGTTAGTATTTTCTGTCACTGCATATTGTTTTATACTGTGCATATATGTGACAACTCACTGTAAAGCAAGGTGTTTGTGTACTACTGTTTTGTTTAAGCTTTAAAATTCATGTAACAGAAGAAGCAATTTAGAAGTTGAATTATATCTGAAATAGTAAAAAGGAAATTTTACATTTGTGTTTGTGTCCTGTCTATAATGCAGCTGCAATATAAAATATTATTAATAGTCTAAAAAGTAACTTTTTCTCACATACCCATCTCTACTTATTAGAATTAGTACTTAAAGCATTATGTATTTACATTATATACAATTGTGAGTCTCAGTCTGTCTCTCAGTAATGATAGGTGTTGAATCTATAGTTAATCTTTCTATAGAAAATTTAGAAAAATAAAACCAGTTCTATTTTTAATAGTGTATCATATTTAGAAAGTGTACTTGCTCATGGGTATATGATTGATTGTAATTGCGATTCTTTTAGGTAACTCTTAAAGCTGATACTATGTCGTGAGGTTTATTCTAGAACGTTGCAGATCTTGCCATATTCACTACGTGATAATGTTTACTCTCCCTTCTGTTATAGATGAGACCTAAGAAATTAAACTCAAGTTAATTCACTTTTCTTTTTGTTAACGATTCTGCTGAAAGTTTTCATACAAAGTGAGATAAGCATTACTTGAGAATTCAAATGATGGATGCCCCCAAAATTTTTACTGTTCTCCCCTTCCCTCTATACTCAGATACGTTTGATGGCTTCAGGAGCTTTTGTTGGATATATATATATATATATATATAAATAATTCCATGTTGACAATTAAAACAGGAAAACTTATAACTCTATAATACACAAGTGCACATTTCATTACCTTCAGAGCGACGATGTCATCACATGGCACACAGCTTCTGGAACACTCCTGAACACTTGTGAGAGAATTAGAGTGAAAAGGTCAAAGAACGTCTTTATTTTATTATGAAGATAGCTTTTACTTCCCCAAATCCCTGAAAAGGTCTTGGGTACCTCCAGGAGTCCTCAGACTATACTTTGAGAACAGCTGTCCTAGAAAATTGAAAGATGATCATATCTTGAATTGTCTTTTATTTGCATATATTCAGCTTCGTGCAGTTTCTCCTAATAATGTAGTTTACAAAATCTGAATACAAAAAATAAAGAAAAGGGTATTTGTGTGTGCATGTCAACAGGGTAATTCTCTTTCTTGTCTCCAGTTATGGAAATTCTTGAAGCCCAATACTCCACTGGAATCTCGGATTTCTAAGCAATGGTGTGAAATTGGTTTCCAAGGTGATGATCCTAAAACAGATTTTCGAGGAATGGGACTTCTGGGACTGTACAATTTGCAGTAAGTAAAATGAAGAATAGTTGCATATTGAAGTGATATTCTGGTCTCTTAGTATTGTTTTGAAATGGCAAAGTTAATAGTGCTAAGAATGGCTTTCCAGAAGACTCCAGGAAAACATTCAAGTTCTCTGAGAGGTAACTCTGATTCATAAAATTTAAAAAACTACTACCATCATGCTTTTATTTCTTCTAGACTTCATGAATTCTTAAGACAAATCTCAAATGTATTTATTTTTAATTTTTTATTATGAAAAATTTCCAGCATATACAAAAGTGACAAGAAGGTTGTAAAGAACCCCCTTAACTGATCACCCAGATTCAGTAATTATCAAGGTTTTGCCATAATTGCAACATGTGTTTTGTTTTATTTTTGTCATTTCACCCCTCATATTTTAATGTACACCTCTAAAGAAATGAATATTTCCTTACCTTAACCACAGTGCCATTATTACACCTCACAAAATTAATAATAATTCCTATTTGCAGTCCATATTCAAATTTCCCAATTCTCTTAAAAATGTCTTTTTACAGCTGGTTTGTTCTAATCCAGATCCATACAAGATCTACACATTGCATTTAGTTATTATGCCTCTGGGGCTATTGTAATTAGAGCAGTCTTCTCTCCCTCTCTGCCCCTCCCCCAGTCCCATACTCACCCCCCTGGAAAGATTAGAAACTTGTGGAAGATTCCAGGTTAGTTGTGCAATAAAATGTTCCATGGTCTTGATTTGTCTGCTTGTACTTGTACCCATCCTGGTATTTCCTGAAAATTGGAGGTATTGGGAAAGGCTTGAATAGGTCCAGGTTCATATCGAGGTAGGAAGTGTGCAATATCTCACCGCTGTCAATGCTGTGATGAGAAGGGTCAGAGGGGTCACATCCTGATGGCTCCGTTGTAAAGTCCCCCATCAACATGTAGTCTAATGGTTTCTACCTTCAGTGATTTTCATTCAGTCAATGAATGGTGCAAAAAGTGCTTTTCTAATTCTGTTATTCTTCCCAGTTTTCAGCCTGGAATTCTGTAAAGACCAAATTTCCTTTATAAACTAATGTTATTTGGTTTTAATACAATAGATGCTCAATTTTTCCCTGTAGTTACCAATTTTCAGATAAGAAATTGGTGCCCAAGTTCCCTTGCTTGATGATCAATAAACTTTTTTCTGTTTTTTTCTTTAGCCTTCCATTTTTTAAGTATCATTTCAAACTTAGGTGTTTTTATCTATTTAATGAGATTCAGTTCATTGCAGGCATTATTTTTAGATGCTTAAATGCAGTCATTATTTTTAAAGCCAAAGGGAGCACTTTCAAGTTGGTTCTTGGGTCCTTTTGACACTATACTAGTAGTGAGGATAGTGATGTGTTTTTAAAAGAAATTAAGACTTACTCAGTCATGTTTGGTGGCACCTATTTTTCCCTTTATTTTAAATTTAAAAACCAAACCCGTTGCCATTGAGTCGATTCCAACTCATAACGACCCTATAGGACAGAGTAGAACTGCCCCATAGGGGTTCCAAGGAGTGCCTGGTGGATTCAGACTGCCAACCTTTTGGTTAGCAGCCTTAGCACTTAACCACTACACCAACAGAGTTTCATTTTAAATTTATGAGGTTTAATAATCACACAGTGTTTTCTGGAATGTGTTAAATGCTGCATTAAAATGTAATGTGACTGAATAGAAAATAAATTTGAATGACAGAGGTGGAGTTACAAATAAGTGGGTAAAAGATGAGCTTTTGAACAAATGGAGCTGAGACAATTGGCCTTCCATTTAGAAAAAAAATTAAATATCTCATCTCAATTCAAAAATTTAATGTGAGAACAAATCTTTACAACTTTTAAGAGAAAATCTTTAAGGTATTCAATTAAGGAGGGATCTCTTAAAGACACACACAAAAAAGGCATAAACTGTAAAAAAAAAAAATCAATAAATTTCACCCATTAAAATTGAAAACTTCTATATGATAAGCTGGAGCCCTAGTGGCACAGTGGTTAAGAGCTCGTCTACAAACCAGTAGGTTGGAGGTTTGAATCCACCAGGCACTCCTTGGAAACCCTATGGGACGTTTCTACTCTGTCGTATAGAGTCGCTATGAGTCAGACTTGACTCCACAGCAAAGGGTTTATGTGATAAGCTGCCATAAGCAAAGTGAAAATACAAGCCATGACTGACACTCACAAAAATGGCAGAGGGTCCACATCTAGTATATTCTCTGTAGGGTTAGTTGCTTTATATATTGTTGGACATTTTTAGATATGCTGGACAAAGAAATTTTTACAGACAAAGCATAAAAGAGGAAACCCAGATGACCAACAAAAGTATGAAAAGAACCTCAGTTTCATTAATAATCATGAACATGTGTAGTAAAATTTCTGACTTTGGCATGAAATTTTCTGAGAGAAAATTCAAGAGCTTGTTTTACTCATTAGATTTATGCAGGAAATATAGAGACATCAAATTATATAATACATACAATAGTTTTATAATTGTCTTCATGAAGAATCTTTATGAAGTATTTTTCAGGTTCTGTAAATTTTTTATATATATTAGAATACTTCACTGTCCTTTCTCCCCGAGACAGAAGTTTATTTTTTTTAAATATCTCTAAGCAGCATAAGATATTATCCATTCATCCAGAATTCAAATATCCAGTAAATATTTTTCAAGAAAAATGCATCATCCCCCACCTCCTGAAGTCTTTTCTCTGCCCTTTGGATGTCCCAGCCCCTCACCATTCCCCTCAACCCAGACGTCTGCCTCCTAAGAGGTTACTGCCTCATCAATGACTCTTCTAAATAAGAATACCCTTGACTCTGTGGAATGGCAATATTCATAATTAAATTTTCAAACCTACTGGATATGTTTCTAAATCTAAGTGAGTTTTACAACTGCCCCACTGTTGTCATTATAGTTGGAAAATTCTATTCTGAAAAGCTGTTTGTTTTCTGGAGGAACTGAGACAAGTGATACTCCTATGCCAGTGTGCATCTCTGAAACCCAAATGGCCTGAAATTGAGTTGGTATGAACATGTGAAGTTACGATATGGAGATGGAGTTATGATATGGAGTTGTAATCTGGTTTTGCTCCAATTGCAGGTATTTTGCAGAAAGGGATGCTGCAGCAGCTCAGCAGGTCCTCTCTGATTCTCTTCATCCAAAATTCAGGTAATTGCTGAAAAAAAACTAGAGGGATTAGGTAGAATTAACTTCGTCTCCTACACTCATCTGTGGATGAGATTCTCAGGGTAGTCAACCCACCATAAGTGAGGCTTAGAGCACTTTTATTTTATTTATTTATTTATTTTTCATTGTTTTTAAGTGAAAGTTTACAATTCAAGTTAGTCTCCCATAAAAAAATTTATACATTCATTGTTATGTGACCCTAGTTGCTCTCCCTATACTGTGACAGCACACTCCACCATTACACCCCAGATTTCCCGTATCCATTCAACCAGCTCCTGACCCTCTCTGCCTTCTCATCTCGCCTCCAGATAGGATCTGCCCATTTAGTCTCATGTATCTACTTGAGCTAAGAAGCACACTCTTCACGAGTATCATTTTATGTCCCATAGTCCAGTCTAATCTTTGAAGAGTTGGCCTTGGGAAGGGCTTTTAGTTTTGGGCTAACAGAGAGTCCAGGGCCCATGTCTTCCAGGGTCCCTCCAGTCTTAGTCAAACCATTATGTCTGGTCTGTTTACTAGAATTTGAGTTCTGCACCCTACTTTTCTCCTGCTCTGTCAGGGACTCTCTGTTGTATTCCCTGTCATTGGTGGTAGCCAGGCACCATCTAGTTCTTCTGGTCTCAGGCTGATGGAGTCTCTGGTTTATGCAGCTCTTTCTGTCTCTTGGCCTAATATTTTCCTTGTGTCTTTGGTGTTCTTCATTCTTAGAGCACTTTTAAATAAGCTCTTTGACAAATGATGAATAGGAGGTTTTAAACTTAACCCAAATCCAGGATGTAGGAATTAAAGCGGGCACACTTTAAGTGAGATATTTATTTAAATGGACTGATAATGTCACTGATGTCCAGGAATACTGAGGAGGTAGACATGGAAGAAGGGGAAGCAGAGTCTAGGAGAAAGAGTTCAGAGACAAAGGAGCATGATGCAGGAAGAGAGGAGAGAATGGAAGTCATGAAGTCAGGGTTCCCCACTGAGAAAGTCAAGAATTTCTGAGACTTTTGTTGTTATTCTGTAAAATTCTAGATTCTGAATTATTTGCAATTGCATTTACCTTTCTAAATTTTTTTTCCTCTAACTGATTACATGAAGGGATATCACTAAAGAGGAAATAAGGTATTTTTTCTTTGCTTTTGTGTTTTGTTGCTTTTATTTTATTTTTGAATAAGTATGGTAATAAGATTTTTTTAAAGGAAATAAAATTCATTTAAAAATTTTCAAAAAGCAAACATTTCCCAACTTTTTATGTAAGATTTGGGCTGTGTTTTAGTGAACTAAAAACCAGATTAGACCACCCCCCCATGGAAAATGTCTAAGAGCCTTTCTACAGCCATGACTATACCTGGGAGGAGAACCATTTTAACACCTCACCTGAAGGCTGAACACCTCAACTCATGAAATAAGTAATACATGAACTCCATCTGTTTAATTTTATTGTAGCTTGAGGGACAGAGCATGGCAATTTTATCTACATGTCTATACACACATGTGCGTGCACACAGAACACACAAATGCTAGCCTTTTCTTAAATAAGAGCAGCCTCACACACCCTCAAATACTAGTTATACTCACCACACATGCTCTGACTCCATCTACTCCCCAGAGAGGGACAGTTCGCTTAGGCGTTTTACTGCACAGAGCAAAGATTGTTTATACCTTTTGGCTATTGTGAATAGTGCTGCAATGAACATTGGTGTACAAGTGTCTGTTTGCGTTCCTGCTTTCAATTCTTTTGGGTATTAAAATTGGCTAGGGTGTCTGTACACTGTCAGGTGGCATTTTCTGGAGGAGTATTAGCCAGAAGACATGAATCCTCCATGGTCCTTGGCAAGTGACAATAAGCTTAAAATATTTTTTTATTAACTGTTGGAGGGGTGTTAATTTTATATATGAGCGATTCTCAGATAGGCTTTATAAGTTTTATCTTCCATGTCAGCCATCAGAGAGGAGGTATAATTAATATTTGAGGGTGTGTTTGGCTGCTTTTATATAAGAAAAGGCTAGCATTTGTGTGTTTTTGTGCATGCACTTGTGTGTGTATAGACATGTAGATAAAACTACCATTCTCTGTCCCTCAAGCTACAATAAAATTAAATAGATGAAGTTCATGTATTAATTATTTCAAACAGATGGTACATGTGACTGCATACAAATCAGTATGTTTTGAAAAGGCTGCTGTCCTTCACCAATGCCTGAAGGAAATACATACTGACCAGTTGTGTTATCAACATAGGTTCTGTCAGGCCCTGAACATTTCAGGTGTTCCACAGGGAGAAGTCAATTTGTACTGAGGAAAGCTCTCTGCTACTTCTCCTTCAGTAAGCATATACATAACTGCTCTGGTGAACATCCATCTATCAGGTCGGTCCTGAAGTAAATTGAGGAATAAAAGTGAATTCAAGTTTAAGAGGAGAATTTTGATGATTAGATTTTTGTTGTTTTTCTAAAGAGAGGAATCCAGTCTGTTCGGGCCAGGATATCCTATAAGTGATCAAATGAGTAGTTGTTTGGCCTTTACTTATATTTCCAATGCAGATAGAGATTTAATTTAACAAGTATAGAGATGCTATGTATTTATAAAGCTTTGTTGAAGAAAAAATAATTTCTTATAAATTCACATATATAAAATTTTTTTTAAATTTCACACATAACTCACTTTAGTTTGGATATGAGTCTTGTAAGATAAAAAATCTGATGTCTGGTTGGTTGGCAGTTACATTTAAAAATGAGGTCACATGTTTCAACATGAATTAAAGGCAATGGTTTTTGAATTATGGCTAGTCATTTACGAATAGAAAGTACACATAATAAAATATCAGCTTTGCATCAAGTTTTTGTGGTTGTGTGCTGTGTATATTATGTGTGTGCCTTTAAATGTAATGTTTGCAGTGTACTCTAGAGAATTCTTCTTTCTCCTACTTAGGTGAAAGCTAAGTCTTCGTAATAATTCTAGTTTTAAATTTTAAAGTTAAAGTTTAATGACTTTTTAAAGTGTAAAACACTTAATTAAGGTTACTATATCAGTCATAAAGAAGAGTGGAACACAGTTCCCGGCCAGAAGACATTTGAAGTATGAAGGGAATGGGAATGAGGGCCCTGAGCAAGTATACAAAGTAATGCAATATAAGGCAGTAATTTCAAACTACTTCTAACATAGATATCTTTCTTCAAACAGTCTTATTCAGGAGCTAAAATTATAAAACAGATTATAATGGAACTACTGTGGTTTAGCTGATTTAGCATAGTCAGATGAAATGCTGTGGAACTTGTTGGAACAAAATTTTTGCAAGCTGTATTTCCTTCCTCCCTCCCTCCTTTCTTCCCTCCCTCTCTCTCTCCCTCCCTCCTTCCCTCCTTCCTGTCCTCCCTCCCTCCCTTCTTTCCTCCCTCTCTCTCTCCCTCCCTTCCTTCTTCCCTCCCTCCTTCCCTCCCTTGCTTCCTTTCTTCTTCTCTTTCTTTTACTAACTTAATCACTTATCAATAAACATTTATTTGTTATGTACTGTGTACCAGACCTAACAAATACAGCTAAGTAGGATAATCACCATGAGATAAAACCAAACAAAATACAGTGGGAATCATGAGATAGTGAGGTAACATCTGTTAGAGGAGGAGAGATACCAGACAAGGTTTCATGGAGGAGATATTGTTTGAATCAATTACCGATATTGTAAAAGAGGATCTTAATGTTTGGTCTTTAGGGATGTCTGTTAATGCTGTGCTAAAGTGACCAGTGGGTAAGTAGCGTGGCTCTCAATAATTCCATTTCTGAGCTCCATACAAATTTTATTGTGGCTTTTCAAGTCAGTAACATTAAATTGATTAGTGTCTGATAACTGAGTTACAGACGTCTCTGCATCTAGTTAACAGTTTTATGAGCATTGAAAGAAAACAAGTATCAATTAGAGAGTCAGTCTCTTTTTTTTATTCATTTATTTGTTCATTCATTTAGCAAATTCAGCAAAACAGAGTGGGAGAAGAAAAGGATGGATAAAGCAATTGGGTGAGTGTGATTTCATTTATAAAGGTAGATCTAAATCAGAATCAGAAGTTAGTCAGCGAATATGTCCTAAGAGCACTGTGAGAGACAACAGGGAAGAAAATCCACTTGTCCAGATGGAAATATATAATCCAGTTGAATTTTTTAAAAGACTTATTTATGTGTTTTTGGATCTTTTTTGGGTAATTAATTATATGATACTACTTTCTCTGTGGCCAACTGGTAACACATAGAAAACTGTAACTACATTGGAATGATTTTCAGAACTCATCATTTAGAATTGTATTTGGTAGAACAAGAAAAGAATTATATTTGGTAGATTTCTTTTAAGGATTTCTGCAAGGTATCAGGCTACTAAGTACAAATTTACTTTAGAAGGTTTTTTTAATAACATGTTTCATCCAAAAATATTTCTGAATAGGAAACTCCTTTTTTTTTCTGTGCTGGATTTATATTAGCAGAGAGGACTAAAGAACTCAGTCCCCTTTAATTTTTGATATACATGTAGAAAAGGGACTAAAAATTATACTCTAAGTGTTAAGATATCTATTTTAAATTTTTCTCATTTTAAAAGTAATGTACAATTTATTATAGAAAATATAGAAAAGTAAACAAAAAAAATCATCCCAATCTTATTCCCCTAGCATACCCATTATTAATATTTTGTGGTATTTCGTTCTAGCCTTTTTTCTATGCACATGTGTGTATATAATGAAACTTGGCTTGTTCTATACATAATGTTTTATATTTTTTTTGAAGTCTTTAAGAATATAGTTTTTTATTAGCTATAATATGCTGTCATATGAAATTACCATAATTTATTTCAGCTGTCTTCTTTTTTTTAGAATATTTGTTTTCATGTCTTTGCCATTATAAATAATGCTGTAATGAATATCCTTGTGCATAAAGCTTTGTCCTCATTTGATTTTTTCTTTTATAATATGTTTAGAAATGGAATTATCAAGTCAAAGCCTATGAACTCTCAATTCTCTTGGTACACATTACTGAAATTTTCTTTTACGCAAAATTCCCGGTTTTGTTACAATACAGAAGGAAGGGTAACCTGCCACTCTGATAAATAATTTAATAGTAATTTTAAAATCCTGCTATCATTTTTTGAAATGTTTATTTCCCATATGTGACACTCAGTTGGTTTTGTGGCTTACGCTTTCAGGTACTCGTTTGCAATTGTGGGCATCAATATAACTGATCTGGCATATAATCTACTGATCAGTGGAACTCTCAAGACCCATTTCTACAATATCGCCCCAGAAGCTCCAACATTATCCCACTTCCAGCAAACGTTCTGTAAGTGTCCTGTTGCTCAATATCAATGTAAGTTTGTTTCTACAGAACACTCCAGACAAAGGTCAAAGCTGAGAGGTCTTTGTTATTTGGCTGCCTTTAAACTTCATCGTTTGGTTTTGATTTTTTTATTTTCTCATTCAAAAACCTACACTTGTGTTTTCAGGCATCATGGATTTTTCTCTTTCCCAACTTTTGTGTAATATCAAATGTAGCAACTGGCCTGACTTGAAGACATTGTGGATCTGTCTGTCTGTCTGTCTCTGTCTCTTTTTCTCTCTCTGATCCAGCATGGTCATAGTGCTTAAGAGTGCAGGATCTGAAGACAGGCAGCCTGTGTTGACTCCTAGATCTATGTTTACTACTTTTCTAAGCCTCTGTTTTCTTGTCTATAAACTCAGTCCTTCGTCATAGAGTTGTTATGAAGATAAAATGAGGTAATGGATAAAAGGTCTTATTAGCTAGTCCCATAGTGCTCACTGGATGATAGCAAGAGGGGGTGTTGTTTTAGTGAGTGATATTGATGGTGGTGATGTTGTCATTGATATTACTTTTACAACTACCATTACCACTGCTGCAGAAGGTAGCATGACCAGCCTCTGTAAGAGTAGGTGGGAGTAGAGGCTAGTATGGTTGACCCTGAACCAGAGCCCTATATTGTCCTCGACTGAAAGGTATTCTTTTGGGTTGCGGTTGTGCTGAGGTTTCAGAAAATAAAGACTGAGACTATATGGCAGAGTCCTGGGTGCTAGCCTGCATTCTTAGAGGCAGAATCCTAAATCTAACTTCATGTCATTATAAACAGAAACAAACTGGGTTGGAGGGACATGGAAAGGTAGTCCACCTGGTAGTCAAGCAACCTAGGCAATTTAAAGGAGAAACGTAATTTGTACCTTTTAAACCATGCTTACTGCACTGATGGCTTCATACCTAAGCTTTCTTATCAAGAAAATTCCGAAGTTTTTCTTCTGCTTTATGTTTTTTTCTAGCTTTTTTCTGCTGTTAATTTGCTAAACGGGTCTACCATTCTTTCTAGATATGCTTAAGACATAGTTCTTGGACCCCCACATTCACCACAGGGGAGTAATATTTCCCAGTTCATTTGTAAAATATGACAGAGTCATAAGTTAAAAGCAATTTATTTCATCTAAACTCCTAAATTAATAGCTATTATGTTATCTAGAATTGTGTCTGTTTTTATATCTGCTTAATCAGGACTTATGGTTAAAGACGATAGAACTAATAAGTGCATTATGCTCCGTTCCCTTCTGACACTCTGCTACAGTTAACACAGAGGGATTTTTTTTTTTACAAAATCACAAATCCACAGGATAGGGAAGGTTGGAGAGGAGGAAAAAGAGCAACCTCATTTTGGAAGCTGGAAAACAAATCAAGTGGTAACTGATTTAGTAGTCCTAAGAAAACAAATTCCCAAGCAGGTATTTGTGGAAAGGTGAGAAGCAACCTGAATTATTTTACAGAATTCCCAAAAGTTTCCTGAATTGGCAGCATCAGGTGTCTTTGGAAATAGGGGTGAAGATAGGGCCAAAAACTGCACAATTGCTTGAAAGTCTGTCAAGAAGCTCTTAGAGGCCCAACTCCCCTTCCCAGGTGACTGTCCCTGCCCTCCTCCCAGTGCCAGAAGAAGGTTGGTGAGTTCTTCTCTGGAGAGAGCAAAATAAAGGGTCTCTGACTGATGGGAACCAGGCGCAGCTGATGGCACTGTTGGTAGCAAACCATACAGAAAGTTGCTATGATGAAGGTTGAGAAACCCAGGCTGCTTCGTCTACTCAGTTCCTAGAACTTTGGTAGCCAGTCAAGAGAGACTGAAAGGGTCTTCTCTGAGGAATCTGAACAACCCAAGAGAAAAGACCTAAAGATATTAATCTTTGGGTCTCCCTAATGAAACAGCCAAGCTATATCACTCTGTAGTGATGTTTATAATCAACAAACCCTGCCTATGTACTCAGAACATACAACCAGCTTTAAGTCCAGTTGGCTTTTTTAGTCAAAAATATTCACAGACAACTCAGATATGTAAGTGTGGTGGTTTAAAAATGTCCACAAATTCTTTGACGCTCTTCCCATTTAGCAGCAGGGTTTATGTGCCTCCATTAATCCCTACATTTTGAATCTGGGCTAACCTTAGTGACTGGTTGACCAATAGAGTATGGCAGAATTGATATTATGTGACTTCAGAGTCTAAATCAGAAAAGGCTTTTGCCTGGTTCTCTCAGGACCTGATAGAGGAAGGTACTATTTTTTTAAAAATTGAAAATGTTTTGCAGGTATTATTCAGTCTGGAAGTCAGAGAAAGCCTCCCAGAGCAAGGGTCACTGTAGCTTAGACCTAAAGGATGAGTGGCAGAAAAGAAAGCAATGGTGCTTTAGTGGTCTGGCCAGAGGGAGTGGCACAGGCAAAGGCCACAAGACAAGAGAGTATGATGGATTCAAGAAATAGAGCATAGAGTTTAAGTGGGAGGGTGGTTTGAGATGAGACAGGAAATGTAAGGGAGGGGCAGACCTTGAAGAGCTATATAAACCATGTTAAAGAGCATAAATATGTAGACAAATAAGACCCCCGTTCTATGTTTCCCTAGCCCCTTGTACTTACCCTATTCTATCTTCAAACTTGAGGGAAACCAGGGAAGTCGTTTTGGAGGAAAATAGAATGAATTTAGTTTTAGGCATATTGAGGATGAGTCACTTTTGGGAAATCCATATGGATCAGCATAGTGGTCAGTGTAATGTAAGATTCAGGACCTCTGAAGAGTTAGAAGGTTTCAAGCTGTAAATTGGAGAGTTATCAGCATGAAGGTGAAAACCAGAGCCACACAGTGGACAAGCTGTCCCAGGAATCTAAGAATCATAAGGAATTGACATTTAAGGGCATGAGTGTTTATTTTGTTTATGGTTCTATCCTCAGCCCAGAGCCTGGTACAGAGGAGGTGCACAGTAACTATTTGTTGAATGGTTGGATGGATGGATGGACAGATGGGCAGATGGAGAGATAGATGGATGGAGAGATGGATGGAGGGATGAATAACAGGCTAAAATATTAGATGGTCTCTATAGGGGGGAACCAAAAACCAGTTGCCACTAAGTCAATTCCGACTCATAGCAACCCTGTAGGACCGAATAGAACTGCCCCATAGGGTTTCCAAGGAACGGCTGGTAGATTCAAACTGTCAACCTTTTGGTTAGCAGCCAAACTCTTAACCACTAGCCACTAGGGCTCCTATAGGAGGAAGGAGAGTCTAATTTCTGTGGAAAGATTTATCCTTACCCTGGATTGCTATGTTTTCAAGAGATTCCTAGCCCAAATGATGAAGTATGCAATAGGATTATTTATTTCCCAGGACCCCACCAGGTTTTGGAAACAGCAGAATCCCCTATGGATTGGAGTATAGGCAGAGGGACTCAGACTCTCTAGAGGAGGCACACTGTGCCCTGGATTGACTGTTCCTCCATCAGACCTGTTCAGGTTTGCACGTCTGCTGTGTAATACTTTTGCAGTTATCTGTGTCCTTGCATATGTCTCTGCTCTCTACTAACTAAATGCAGTGAAGCAAAACCAAGACACATTCAAGCAATAATGAATAAGCTACAGGCTTGAGATGGACAGCCAAATTAGTATTCAAAACAAGTATTTCATCTAGGTGAAAGAATATAATAGCTCTATCATTCTGACTTTACAGTATTATTCAGTGGACGCTGCACTGCCAAGGCAGTATGTTACAAAAATTGCATTCAATCTAAAGCTCCACTGACCATACAGCCCCACTGAAATGAAGTGAGGTTAGATGCAGTGAGCAGAAGCAAGTACAATGGCCAGACGAAGGAAAGGAGTTATCTTTTCTTTGACCTTCAAAATAAGGAACTATTCAAAAGGAATGAGAACAAGAAGAACAGAATACACTGGAAAAGGCAGCCTGGTGCAGTGGTGGAAAGTCAGCTGGTTTCAGATGCTGGCGTCCAGCTTCCAGCTGTAATTATATAATTGTATACCATTCAAAGTCTTCTCTAAGCCCAATGTAGATATAAGCCCAAACGGAGATATAATATCTGCATTACCAATCCCACAAAGATGTTGTGAGAATTAAATGAGAGACTGAGCAACAACCTGGCCTGTTTCCTCTCTGTACCTCCCACACCACTTTGTTAGCTTCCTTAGTTACCATGTATTGCTGAAATCATTACCCATGTCCCTCTTTCCAAGAAACCAAGAATTGGGGATCCCAAGAACACTACTTCTTGCATCCTCAGTATCTACTACCATGCCTATTATATATTTGTTGGAAATTCAATTAACCAACTGGATTTTTTGGATATTCTGTAATATTATATAAATGCATAAAGTTTTATGATTAGAACATGTACCTTGGAAGCTGTGCCACCATTTCTGCATTTTGGCTAAGATCATGTTACATGGTCTCTAATCATTTTCCTGCTGAGATAGAGAGAGTCAGTTCCAGGGAACCAGACTAGAAGCTTTATAGCTTCACTTTTATAGGCTTAATAGAAAGGATTCTGAGAATGGTATCAGCTTACGAACCACCCCCACCTCTACTCCTACCCTAGTGGAGGACCCAAAGACAGATCCAGTCCTCAGAGAAATGGAACAGTCAACCCAAAAGAAATATATAATAAATTCTGTTTCTCCTTACTCTCCTTCTTCCTGTATTTGTAGAGAGACCATGTACTTAACAATGTGCAAGCACCTGTGCAATGAGATGAGTGATCAGAGGGATGAGTGTGTAGAAGGGGACCAACATCTGGCAGTGCACTGGGGGAAGGTCACTTCTAATTCTGTATTATAGTGAAATACGAATAAAGATTTTTAAAAATTTGTTTATGAAACTATGTTGAAGGTTTTCCACATATGTAACTGGTTACCAGAAAAATGTAAGGTATTGATATTTTTTTTTCCTATTAGAATTGAGTATGTTTGTTCCAAAAGTCTCTTCCTGTGTCTCCATTATCACCACTGCTCATTCATCCCTGATTTCCATTTACACATGGATTGGCAGAGCTAGGATTCAAACCCAGTTTTCCGGAGTCCTTGCTTCAAACTAGTACTTTCCACTGCCTTCTCACATTAAGGAGTTCTTGGGTGGTGCAAATGACTGATGCACTTGATTGCTAACTGAAAGGTTGGAGGTTCGAGTCCACCCAGAGTCACCTCAGAAGAAAGGCCTGGTGAGCTACTTTTGAAAAATCAACCATTGAAAACCTTGTGGAGTATAGTTCTGCTTGGACATACATGGAGTCGCCATGAGCCAGAGTCACATCTGCAGCAACTGTTCACCCCCAACTCCCCAGGGTTAAGACAAAGAAAGATTCATGTAATCTTTGTATGTGTGTGTGTTTAAACTAGAATTATTTCCTTCGAGAATCTTTTCTCTAATACGTAGAGATACCTAAGCTTGCAGTGAATTTACTACATGTCAGTGTATTCGCTTTTCAAAAAGATATTCACATTTCAATTCTAAGTGTGGTGAAGGGAAGGAAACAGTGGTGAACAAACACAAGGAAGAGGCTCTTGTATCAAATACTTAACACTTATTCTGAAAAAACTCCCAATCCAGATCATTCATATATAACACTTTTGAGACATAAAAGTATTGGTATGTGAAATTATGTTTCAGAGCAAGGAAGCCTATTAATAATTTCATGTAGTTGAATGACCAATCAGTGGTGAATTACAGTTCTTATTGTCTCTTAATAGATTGTCAGAATGCATTTGCTTGATTTGTCAGAGTAATTCGAAATTTTAGTCAAATCAAATATCAAGAGAAAAAAAGGCTGAGCAGCATAATTTCAAAATATCAGACCATTATGTTAATTTAATTAAGAGAGGAAGGATGACATAGTCACTATTGGCCCTTCAGAAAATGCTCCCAATGTGATTCACATTCAGGAGATGGCAGAATTGATTTGTCTTTCTGCTAAAGACGAATGAGAATAATTCCAGGATCACTTGCAAAAATCTGCAGCTCTGTAGCTTCTACTGCACTGGGTTTAAAGAATACTCTTCAGCCATAGTATCATTCGCTATATTTTTATCTCTTTTGTGAGCTCCGTGGTTGCTATTGTTTGGTCTAACTTCTCTTTCAACATTCAGGATGATTTTGAATGTGATTGAGAGGACTTTTTTCCTCCTGCATTCTTATCACTGTATCATCTCTAACAGGCTATTTGATGCATGAGTTTCATAAGTTTTGGATTGAAGAGGACCCCATGGATATAATGGAATTCAATCGTGTGCGGGAGAAATTCCGCAAGAGGATCGTAAAACAGCTGCAGAACCCAGACATGGCACTGTGCCCACATTTTGCTGCCTCGGAAGGTTTAATCAACATGTAGTTGCCCACACTGGTTCTAATGGATGCCCTGGAACACTGCCTCATTGTCATGTTAGGTCTCTGCTTAGGTCCCAGCTCATACACTGAATGCACACAGTGATTGTATGCATGCCTTTTGATACACTATTTTCATTTCTTGGTCATAATTATCAGATCCCCAGATCCCACTATTTCTGGAGTTATCTGTCATCCAGTGACTGCTCATATTGTGGCATTAGGCAGCGTTACATCTTGCCTTGACAGCCAGGTATAGAGAGAGTTTTCTATTTTTTTAGATGGTTTTTTTTTCCTCCCCCTCATTATTCAGCATTAAAGAATTGTAATTTCTCTAGCTGTATTTTGTATGTAAGAAATTTAGCTGAATCTTGTTCTGTGAAAGCCTTTTAATTTATTGACATGTTTCATGACTGCTGCTGCTAGCTTTCCAAGCCAAGTTCAGGCTTGGGTCTCCTTCCAAAAAAATATAAGACTTTAAAATAACACAGACAGACACATGATAAGCCAAACTCTTCGTGCAAACATAGACGCGCTTCACAAAAATGTGATGAGGCTCACAACGCGCAGCCTTAGGTAGAAGCTATTTTTGTTTCAAATGCTGCAGAATTACATTGTAACTTGCTTATCCCCATTTGCAATTGTGTCATAGTTATCTGGATTTCAAATTGTTTTATTTCCCTAACTTCACTGACTTGGATGCTTAAATATGTTTATGATGCTTGGAGCCTCAGAAAAGAAGTATGCGTATTTTAAATGCTGCAAAAGATTCTTCACTGCCTGCCTCTGGCTGGACTCTGAGTTACACCCTGGCACTGTTCTGATCCAGGTACCTTTATGTGGGGGAACTGAGTGCTAACTGGTTTGTTTTCTATGTTAAGAGGCAATATTAAAAAAAAAAAACTGCAAGACAATGTGTTACAAGAGAGGAACCTAAGCTATGTAATTCTGTGGTATTTCTTGAAAATAATGACCTTGTCTTGTATTGTGGAAAAAGTAAATTGCTTGAAAGGGGGAGCAAAAATCAAATTATTCCAGAACTGCTTAAAAGCATTTTAAAATCCATGATTTAGTTTGGAATTATGATTGTAGTCTGTTGAATAGTATTTACCATGGCATTTCATACCCATGGTATTTTATACCTTCCGACTATCAATTTTAGTATTATTAGACATTTGTGTAATCACTTGCTTATTTAAATGAATTTTGAGTACTGCCTGTCGGTTATATGAATAAATTACATGTCATTCTACTGTAACATGGAGTGGATTTCATTTTAATGTTTTTGTGCTCATACAGCTTCTGAATATTCAAATATGTGAGTGGGTAGAATGTCAAAGACAGACAACCTGGAGTTGCCCATAAATCACACCATCATTCGAAGTAACCAAGTGTAAATTAAAATGTGTCACATCCTAGGGACCTTTTTTTAGTTAACTGTGAGGCCTGGTGGTGCTTTAATGAAAAAACGGATCGAGCTTTTCTTCATAACTTCCTATAAAGGCTGGCTTGTCTGCTGCTAGGCAGCTGATAAAGAAGAAACGTTAAGCTGCCTGCTTGATTCCTCGACCATTCTAGCTCCTTTGGGAGTTTGTCATCCCTTCCCTTTCAGCTGTATACCAGGTGGCAGCATTTTGCATGGCGTCTATTACAGCCCTGTGAGCTTTCTTAGAATGGGGAGGGGAAGGAGATGGTTAGTGTCTGATGTGTTCCATGACTAATGACAAGAATATATATTCCTCTCCAGAGTAAGTGAGAACTTCTGAACGCGGTAAATGGCCAGTCGTAACAAACCCCAATCCACTGCCGTCGAGTTGATTCCGACTCATAGTGACCCTATAGGACAGGGTAGAACTGCTCCATAGGGTTTCCAAGGAGCAGCTGGTTGGTTCGAACCACCAACCTTTTGGTTAGCAGCCAGTTGCTTTAACCACTGCACCACCAGGGCTCCTTGGCCTGTCTCGGGAGCCCTGAATTTGCACAGCAGCTGCAGCTTCCATAACGTGCACTGTGTAAATTATTCCACATGCATGCAGACTTTATCAGCCATATGTTGCATCATCTGTTTCTATCCGCTGTGGTTCTTTGTCACTGACATGGCTTGATAACATGTGGCCCTTACACCGGCTCGTGTCTCTTCTGTTCAGGTGGACGTCGTTGATGCTAACAAAGCTGGGAGCTTTCCCTCCTAGCTCTTTGAATGATTTCTCTCTGTTGTATCTTAACGTGGCTGCACGATTTTAGGGTGAACAAACTCTGCCAGCTGCTTCTAGTTCTGACTATTATTAGATTTCTCATTCACACCTCTTTGTGGAAGATGTGTCCTACCCAGTAACACTAAGTGAAGTGAGAAAAAGAAAAGGAGGTTTCAAAAGCATCAAAAATGTGTGATGTTTTTCCCCCTTGAGTATTCTTAGCTTACTTTTACTTACTCAGTTGAACAAGGGTTGACCGCTTAAAATGTAAATTGTGTAGCGAACTTCTCGCAAATTTTCCAAAACACTACTTGCTATGATGAAAACACATTCCAGTTTGCACTACAGAAATAAAACCCTTTATAAAGAAAATGTTCTCCATTCTACCTTGGTGAGTAACGTCTGGGGTCTTAAAAGCCTGTGAGCAGCCATCTAACATACTCCACTCGTCTCACCCCTTTGGGAGCAAGGGAGAAGGAAGAAAACAAGATACAAGGGAAAGATTAGTCCAGAGGACTAATGGACCACGACTACCACAGCCTCCGGCTACCACCACCTACTGCTCTGACAGGGATCACAGCAGAGGGTCCCAGACAGAGCTGGAGAAAAATGTAGAACAAAATTCTAACTCACAAAGACCAGACTTACTGGCCTGACAGAGACTGGAGAAACCTCAAGAGTATGGCCCCTGGCACCCTTTTAGCTCAGTAATGAAGTCACTCCTGAAGTTCACCCTTCATCCAAAGATTAGACAGCCCCATAAAACAAAACAAGACTAGTGGGGCACACCAGCCCAGGGACAAGGACTAGAAGGCAGGAGGGGACAGGAAAGCTGGTAATAGGGAACCTAAGGTTGAGAAGGGAGAGTGTTGACGTGTCATGGGGTTGTTAACCAGTGTCATAAAACAATATATGTACTGTTTAATGAGAAAACTATTTGTTCTGTAAACCTTCATCTAAAGGACAATTTAAAAAAAAAAAAAAAAGAAAACCCTTTGAAGCACCATTTCTGGAAATTGTGACTTCAGTTTGACTTTCCTTCTCACAATTCTTATTATTGCATTTAAAATACATTTTTTGCCTAGTAACCCATTATCTTTTCTATATTTGCAAAGAGGCTTGAATATACACCAGTCCCAATAGATAGGGTGACCTTATATTTTCCAAACCAAGACTTTTTTGAGAGCGCAAAAGAGTGTTACTAATTATTTCTTTAGGACAACAGGGTAAACCAGGCCAGTTTGAGGAAAATAAATTGTTAGGTGACCCCAGCAATAAACATAATAAGGATTGTCCACTCACAACTCAGTTAGGCAAATGCAACCCAGTTCTCTCACTTTCTAATCTCTGGCAGGAGAAGTCCATCATAGCAACATTTTGATAGCCAGGATACTACCCCAAATCTTAAAGACACATCAAAGTTATGAGCTTGGTCTGAGTGTAGGAGGTTCAGCTATAGTTTCAGGGCTAATACAAAGTTGACCATAGGGAAATAAAGCCTGGCAAGCAAACTCCATGGCCACAAATTATCTCAGGTCATGCATATATGGGGCCAGATTCCAGTTCAACAGAGTGAAGACAGGATCAGAGTTGGTAGAATATGAGGATAGGGGTTGGGGTGATGGGAGAGAAGAGGAAGAGGACAGATGAAAAGGAAAAGTAGGACCCTGCCCACATCTAGGAAACTTAGAGCCAGTGGTGTCACTAGGGTTGGTGTCACCCAGTGTGGTAACTCATGGTGTCACCTTCCCTCATGGACCTCCTCCCATACCAGACCATACAGAGGCCCTAGTACTGTTTTTTGTACTAATGTCACCTGTAAATCATAATTCTTACATATCACTGCTTCTTTTCCTTGAATTACTACTTCATTCTCAAAAAAGTTATTGATATAGGTTCACAAATACTAAATTACCACAATATTGTAGCTAAAACACCAGAAATTTTACAAAATCGGCACCTATAAAAACACTGGTAGCAATGAAAACAAACAGCACATGCTTGTAGCACCTGCAGACAAATCCATGTGATTTGAAGCGTCCTTGTAATTGAATAACAATGACAGCTTCTGACTGGAGCACATTAACCTGCCAGACCTGTTGCTGTCCAGTCTATTCCAACTCATAACAATCTTAAAGGACAGAGTAGAACTGCCCCATAGGGTTTCCAAGGAGCGGCGAGTGGATTTGAACTGCTGACCTTTTGGTTAGCAGCCAAGCTCTTAACCACTCTGCCATCAGGGCTCCAGAACACATTATGAGGTTCAAAAAGTAAATTAGACTTTTAGCCTTGTAGGTATATTGATACATGTAAGCTGCTCTTAACAAAAAATGTTTTTGTTGTTATAACTACAGGGATATTTTTATAGACAGTCATTTTGGCCCCTCTGACTGTCAGCTGGTGTCTACACCCCCTGCATTCCCCTGGTGACACCACTGCTTAATGCCACAGTGACATGAACTCTATGAAAGCAATGCCTCTAACTGTTCAGGGAGCTTCACAGTAACTGCTCTAATCTAGAGACAAAATGGAAGAACCGTGTATAACATCAAGTCTTAGAAGATGAGATTCTGGTATGGGTTCCATTACCGTAGTTGACATTTAGTGATTCTTATGCCATGTTCCAGGACTGTGCTGCTCCTTTACTTGCATTATTTCATTTTATCTCCTCAACAACATACAAAGTCAGATGGACTTTTGTCTGCTTGCTTGCTTGTTTTTGTAAACAAACAGGCTTAGAGAAATTAAATACATTGCCCAACATCCCAAGAGAGAGTAGTAAATGGCAGAGCTAGACCTTGAACCCAAGGCCCTAAACCCAGGCCTTTAATCATTATGCAAGCTACCTAACAGGAATTATTCTCCACTGTCCCGGGCACTGGTGGATTATAAACACACACATCTGTCCCCATGTGACAGTATATGTGCAAATAAATATTTTCTGCCCAGGCATCTGTGGAGTGAATTCATACCTGCAGATCACAGTGCTGCCACTCTGTCCCTCAGGGATCCCCACATTGTTGGTTAGAATTTCTTCCCTTTGAGACAAAAAAAAAAAATTTCAACCAGATCGTAAGCTGTTCTGATCCCTGATCCCCCAAGGTCACTGAGTGCCTGCATACTTCCTTCCCATTGGATTGTGAGAAGTCTCAAAAAGGTGGGTTTCTGAAGCCTGTCCTGTGGTGTGTTCAGACCAGAAACTACAGGGCATTTTGGGTTAAAGAGAAGCATGTGAAACTTGGGTTCTGGGGACTCTATAAATAAAACATTTCTTTCCTATCTAGGTTCTTGTGTCCCATTAACCTGACTTAGACTGCAGAGTGCTATAGCTCATGAACGAGCTAAGAGGGGTGATGTCGCCTATTAACTGGGCTGCTTCACAGAAAACCGACCTAGATGGTTAGGATGGGGTCAGGGTAGGTTACAAAGATTAAGCGGTTGACTAAGACCCTTTCTATTTTTTGTCTGTTATGTACCTAGCACTGTGCTATGCTTT